GGGCTGCCGCTCGCAGGGCTGGGGCGGGGGTGGGAGGAGGAGGGCACCACCAGGGAGATGGGGGCTTGGCTTGGGAGCGGAGCAGTCACCTCTGCTCAGAAAAGAAAAACCTGGCTGGCAAGTGTGCACGTGGGCAGCGTGGTGTGTGGGGGACAGTGGGCTGGGAGCGAGGGGACCTGTACTCCAGCCCCAGCAACACCACTGTGGCTGGGCCACCTTGGGCACGTCACCTGACCTCTCTGAGCCTCAGCTGCAGGGAGAGGGCGACCGACCCAAGCAGACTAAGGTGCCTGAGCCTGGCCCATCCCCGATGCTCAGGACACGCTGGAATGGGTGTCTCACTGCCCGGGACTCTGTCAGGGGCGGAGGGGGGCCGGGGCCGGGGCCACTGTTTGCAGCCACGTGGCCTTTGGGGTGGGGGGTGGGGGGCTGAGTTGGCGGCTTGGAGAGACTCCAACGGCCGGTGTGTCCCCCAGGTCAGCTCGGTGCCCTTCCCTGGAGCTGCCCGCCACGAGCAGACCACCCTCTTCATGGAAAGCCCGGTGCAGTGGCCCCCCTGGTGATGGCATCCGACAGTGACGTGAAGATGCTGCTGAACTTTGTGAATCTGGCTTCCAGCGACATCAAGGCGGCTCTGGACAAGTCGGCGCCCTGCCGCCGCTCTGTGGACCACCGCAAGTACCTGCAGAAGCAGCTCAAACGCTTCTCCCAGAAGTACTCCCGGCTGCCTCGGGGCCTCCCGGGCCGAGGGGCCGAGGCTCCCCTGAGAAGGGGGCCAGAGGACCGCCCCGGGAGGCTGCCCCTCAATCCCGGCCCTGACGCCAGCCCTAGCAGTGGTGGGGACTGCAAGGAGAAGGCTCTGGGGAACCCCTACAGGGAGGAGTGTCTCTCTAGGGAGCAGACCCTACAGGGGCAGAATCCAGGAGCTGCCAGGCCTGGCCAGGTGCCCATGAGGAAAAGACAGCTGCCCGCTTCCTTCTGGGAGGAGCCGCGGCCCACCCACAGCTACCCCGTGGCGCTGGAGGGGGTCCTGGGCCCCAGAGAGGGACCTCCCTACGAGTGTAAGCAACACTGCAGGGGCCTGGAGCTCTTTGGGCCTGACATGGCCCTGATCCCCATGTCCCCCAGGGCACTGGCTGAAAAGGAGCCACCCAAGTTGCCTGGGGTCTCCCTGGTGGGCCGTGTCAATGCCTGGAGCTGCTGCCCCTTCCAGTACCATGGACAGCCCATCTACCCAGGCCCTCCAGGGGCCTTGCCGCAGGGCCCGGTCCCCAGCCTGGGCCTGTGGAGGAAAAGCCCCGCTTCCCCCGGGGAGCTGGCCCATCCGGCCAAGGATGTGGATGGCCCGGGGCAGAAGGTACACAGGCCCGTGGTCCTGAAGCCCATCCCCACGAAGCCGGCCATGCCCCCGCCCATCTTCAACGTCTTTGGCTACCTCTAGCGGGGCTGCGGGCCTCGCTCCGCCTCCGGCCTGCGGGCGTGTGGGGCCCCCGGGAGCTCCCCTGGGAGCAGGGGGCCGGGCAACGGTGTGGTGTGGCCTCTTGAGAGCCTTCCCTTTACATGTGTGCGGGGCAGGGAGGGCGGGATCGGGGCCCGGCCTTCTCAGGCCGTCGCCTTGGGAGCTGCGGGGCCGGGCACAGCGGGTCCCCCTCCAGGCCAGAGCCCGACGGATCATCCCCCCCGTCCCTGTGCAGACCTCGGGGCTTCGCCCTGGTCGGCCAGCCACCCCCGAAGCCGAGTTACACATCTGTTATTCTGCCACCCACTCTGTAAGCCAACCTCAGTTCTGTTATTTTCGTTCTTTGTAAATATTAAGGTTTAAAGAATAAAGGCGTTTCTTTTGCAGTTTCCACACCTTGGGTCTCATGAAGTTGAATGGCCCCCAGGCCCAAGAAGTGCTGGCTGCACCCAGGAGGAGGGCTGCTCATGGAGGTGACAGTTGGGGGAGGCCAGCCGTGGGCGTGGGCACTGGAGGCCAACCGCTCAATTCGAAGGCGGGGGGGTGGGGCGGGACAAGCCTCCAGGGAGGATGGTGCCAGGGGGCGGAGCTGTGTCCTGCGTGGGACATGGGGCTGGACCTCCTCTCAGGCCTCCTGGCCCCCCCTGCAGAAGGGGGTGGGAGGGCAATGGTCCCTCTGTGGTGCCTTCCATTTTATTGGGACTCAGCATCCTTCTTAACGCGAGGCTCCCGGAGTAGTGATGGCTATGGGACTCTCCCACCTGCCCATTTGAACCCCAGGGCTCCCCTAAGGCCCGTCCACATGGACGGGCAGCCCACGCTGGGGAGTGGTTTGTGTCCGCTCGTCTTGGAGGACTTCAGAGCCACAGAGGCCGTGCGGCACAGGCAGCATGGTCAGCGAGCCCTCAGCCAGGACCCTCCCCTCAGCTGCTCTGGTCTTAAGGGGCAGGGAGGGGACCAGTCACAAGCGTGTGGATCCATTCCGATGAGGCTCAGCCCCTCCACACAGTAAAGCAGAATGTAAAAAGCACTAATCGGGGCTCTGCCACCTACTAGCTGTGTGACCTTAGAAAAGTTACTCAACCTCTCTGTGCCAAAATCTCCTCATTGGAAAAATGTGATTGAAAATAGGCCTGCTTCGTGGGTTGATGTGGGGATGATGCCAGTACTGCTACCCAAGTGGTGAAACGCTGCACAACTGAAGGCCACCTCTCCTGGTTATCGGGCAGTGTCTGTAGGTCCTGCCATGCTGGTATTTCAGTGATACTGTGGACTGGGCCATCCAATCTCCCCGGGCCCGGAGAAAGAATGGAGCTCTGGGATCTCTCTCTCTCTCTCTCTCTCTCATCAATAAGATTTTTTTAAAGAAAGAAAGTAGCCCCGCCAGTGTGGCTCAGAGGTTGAGCTTCAACCTATGAACCAGGAGGTCACGGTTCGATTCCCCTTCGGGGCACATGCCCGGCTTTTGGATTCAATCCCGTGTGTTGAGCGTGTAGGAGGCAGCCCATCAGTGATTCTCTCCATTGATGGTTCTATCTCTCTTCTTCCTTCCTCCCTGAAATCAATAAAAAATATCTTTCCCTCTCCTCTCCTCTGAAATGAATAAAAATATATTTTTAAAAAGAAAGAAAATAATGCAAGAACGCAAATGTGGCACCAGGACATGCCAAGCCCAGGGTCCCACATCCTATAAGCAAATGGTGCCAATGGGCAGTGGCTGAGCCCTCCTTCCCTGCGCCTCCCACCTCCCTCTCAGCCTCCCCTTCTCCGGGGGTGCCTCACTAGACTGCCCCGGGGTGCCTGAGGCCCTGCCTGCTGGGACCCTCTGCGAAGTGCCAGAGATGGAGTGTCCTGACAGCGGGCCCCACACCAACTGCACCTGAACACCTTTCTGCTCCAGCCCATCACTGGCTGCCCCCACCCCGCCTACCGGGGTGGATCATCCTGTCTGGGAGGACCGGGTTTCCATGGATTTTCCAGGACCACTGGAGCAAGGCAGCGTGGGACCCTGGCCAAGCACTCGGGTCTGGAACCCAGGGACGCGCTGTGCGTGCCGGGCCCGCTGCGCCGCGAGGGAGTGGGCACAGTTCTGCTGACTCCCCTCTGGCTGTGGCTTTAACGTGTTGCTCGGAAGGCTTTTCCTCTCCAGGCAGACCCAGGACTGACTGGTTCTCTGAAAAGCCCGTATGTAGGAGCTGGTAAAGCCCCGAGGGCCACCGCGATGAGGAACCCGGGGCCCGAGAGGAGCGAGCTAGAGGCAGAGCGGGGCGTACAGCCAGGGCTCCCCACACCTGCCCAGCCGCTGGCTTTCCCAGGCCTGAAACCAGGTGTGACCTGGCCTAAGGCTCTTCCAGACCCCGGGGCAGCCGGCACAGGCTCTGGGCCCCCACCATGCTTTCGTCACACCGGGGAAGAGAACTCGGGGAGCCCCTCAGCGTGCGTGAAACAGGGCGCACTGGTCTCAGTGCAGGGGACTCAGCTTTCTCACCTGCACCATCGAAGGTGGCCGGCAGCTCCTGCCTGCCTCACCCCACAGAGCCACATGGGGGCTGGGGCAGCCCAAACCCAGGAGACCCATGTGCCCGGTCCCCAGCCCCCACTCCGCCCCTACTCCCACTCCCACCACGAGCAGGGTTGAGGGCCCCAGGCCCTGGCGTGTCTGGTGAAAGGGACCACGCTGGGCAAGGAGGCATCTGTGCAACATTTATTGTACCAGGAAGCCCTCTGGGCTCGAGGGTCTCCCCAGCCCCCCAACAGGCCATACCTGTTGAGGGGTTCACAGAGCAGAGGGGCAGGGGCAGGGCCAGCTCCGCAGTGAAGTTGTCCAGGAAGGCACACAGCCCTGAGCACTCCAGCGCCCCCGCCCCACGTTCTCCCCCGCCAGCTGCCCCGCCCCGGAACGGAAGCTCCTGCCCTTCCTGATGGCAGAGAAGCTCTGGGATCTACTCGTCGATTTGCAAAGAAACAAGATTTTCCTCCTCCCCGTCATATTCCGTTCTCTGCTCTGGGCACAGCTCTGGCCCAGAGACCCGGTGAGGTCACGGCAGCCGCCCCAGCTCAGGGGGAGCAGCCCACAGCCTCGCCATCACCAGGTCCCCTGGATTTGGGGACCCCGCCGTCCTGAGATTCAGTGAAACAGTCTGAGGGGCACTCCTCCTCCACGCGCCCTGGTTACTGGGTGTTCTCGTGCTTCAGGTACCGAATCAGCCTGCCTGGGAGCGGCAACGTGTCCAGGAGTTTTAGACGGTATTTGCCAATGGCCTTCCGAACCTGCAGCCTGCAGAGGTGAGTCAGAGGTCTCGGCGGTTCTGGGGAAAGGACAGAGAGATGCTGACCTGTCCCCTGCAGCCTGCGAAGGGTTTGCTTCTTCCTCCGCATACACAGCCTGGACCCTCAGCACAGCCCTTAGCAAGAGGCTAAGGAACCTGAGCTGTTAAATGCCTCCGTGCAGGCCGTGCAGCTCGGGCTCCGGGTGGTGCCGAGACCAGGGCAGGGACTAGACAGCTCCCAGCAGGTTCCAGGTTCCAGAATCGCACCTGGTGCCTGGCCCCGGAGGCCCCCGAGGATGGCTCCTCAGTGAATGAAGGACAGCGAGTGGTCTCAGCTGGTGGAGGGGACGGGCTGTGAGGTAAAAACAGGGACCGATACGACTAGTAATGGGGTCATTTATTTCAGCCCCGGGCACAAGGTCTGGCACAGGGAAGGTGTTTGTTGAATCAAAGAAGGCCATTCATTTACTCATTCAGCAAACGCATGCCGACCCCTTCGCTGTGCCTGGCTCTGTGGTCAGGCCTGAGGCAGCGAGGTGCCGGCCAGGGACTTTTGCAGAATGCTTTCACGTCGTACTTTTGCAGAATGCTTTCACATCGTACGCTGCCATCTGAGGGGGGACTTGACGATTGGGCAGGAATTTGCCAGGCGAGGAAGGGAGGCAGGGGCATTCCAAGCGGAGGAAACAGTGCCAGGCCAAGGAGGCCCCGGCCGCCCAGGGAAGACGGGACACAGAGGGAACGTGGGGGAGGACAGAGGCCAGGTAGCTGCAGGGCTGCCTCTCTAGGTGAGACGGTGCCGTCGCTGCACTTCGGACACTTCCACTGCCTTTCGCTCTCCCTTAGGACAGAGCCTGCCCGCTGGGAAGCTTGGCCCCTTTCTCAGCCGAACGAAGACTGAACTTGGGGTGGGGGGGCCAAAAGGCCACGGGTGAGGCCGAGGACACAGGACCAGCGGGACTGGGCTGGTGGCCTGGGTAACTTAGGAGACTCTGGGTGTGTCAGGCTACTCTCAGAGCCTCTGTCCGCCCTTCCTCGTGAATAACGACATCAGCACCGCAGCCTTGAACGAAAAAGCACAGGGGGAGCGCTCCGTTCTGCAGGTGGAGGGTCGGCTTTAAGGCAACCGAGCAGGTATTGGTTAGGAACTATTTGTTCTACCTGTTACTAGGTGTTTGGTTCTGCTCATTTTCCCTGGGACGCCATCTAGTTGTAAGGGAGTAGCTTTCTCTAGGGAGGAGAGGGGGAGGGGACAGTGAAGGGCCAGGCCAACATCGAAGCAGGGACTGCCCCACCCTCGGGCGGCCCCGGAGGGTCATGGTGATAGTCACCAATGACTCGTGAACCCAGTGAAAGCTTATTGAGCTTCCAGAACTGTGCCCATCAGTGCCATCCTCCCCCTGCTGCCGGTCCAGGAACTTTGTCAGGGGTCTCAATTCAAGTGCTTCCCAGGCATTTGTCCAAATGCAAATTCTTGCAGTAGGTTTAGGTGCAAAGGGGTGTGGGGAGCAAGGAGGAGCCTGGCAAGTCAGAGTCGGGCACTGGGACGGGGGGCACCTGGACAGGCAACGTGCCAGTGCGGCCTCACCTGGGGAAGGCAGCAGCGGTGGGATAGTACCACTGGCTGCCTGTCAGTCTCTGTGCCACAGGACTGACGCTTGGGCAGAGCGGGGGCAGCCCCTCAGAGCCAGAGAAAGGCTGGGACTGTGCCCCTGAGAGCCAGAGAAAGGCTGGGGCAGCCGGAACTCCTCTGGGCAGGCGCCCAATTCTCACTGGTGTCAGCACCCAGTCCCACTGTTTCTGCCGTCTCACCTGCCCCGTGAGCTCTCTAATGCTTAAGAGGGATTCTCAAACTGGCTTAGCCAGGCTGCCCCATCTACACTGCACACAGCAGCTGGACCCTGGCCAAACCCCACCTCACTGCACCAGGCACATCGCGCCCCCTGCAGGCACCTCAGGCTGGCGCAGCTGAAGGGGGCGGGACGCGCCCAAGCTCCGCTGCTCAGATGCACATGCTGAGGCCCAGGGCCACCTCGCAAGCTCCTGGCTCGGGGCTCAGGGGGCCTGCCTCCTACACCAGAGCTGCTCCAGGTGGGTTTGTAGACCGGCAGCGCTGGCACCGCCTGGCGGCAAGCTGAAATGCAGGCTCTCAGGCCCTGCCCAGACCTGCTGAGCCAGCTCCTGCTTTTTCAATAAGATGTCGGTGTGTTTCATATGCACTCTGCACTCTAGGCCAGTGATGGCGAACCTTTGAGCTCGGCGTGTCAGCACTTTGGAAAACCCTAACTTAACTCTGGTGCCGTGTCACATATAGAAATTGTTTGATATTTGCAACCACAGTAAAACAAAGATTTATACTTTTGATATTTATTTTATATATTTAAATGCCATTTAACAAAGAAAAATCAACCAAAAAAATGAGTTCGCGTATCAGAGGTTCGCCATCACTGCTCTAGGCCATCGTTCTTTCCTGGACCTCACCGTACTGCCTCTCAGCGGCTCACAAACATGGGCAACTTGCTCTGAACATTCGATAGTCCTTAGGGGGCTGGAACTGTTTAAAACAGCGTTTCTCAACCTGTGGGTCGCGACCCCTTTGGCGGTCGAATGACCCTTTCACAGGGGTTGCCTAAGACCATCCTGCATATCAGATATTTACATTACGATTCATAACAGTAGCAACATTACAGTTATGAAGTAGCAACGAAAATAATTTTATGGTTGGGTCACAACATGAGGAACTGTATTTAAAGGGCCAGAAGGTTGAGAACCACTGATTTAAAACGTCCTGGAAAGACAGTGGAAGGACTCCAGTGGGTCAAACCTGGGTTTGAATCCCAGCTCTGCCACTGACTAGTGGTGAGACCCTGGCCCAGGTGACATAGTCTCGGAGGGTCCGTCTCCTCAATTACAAAACAAAGAATCACGAAGACACTATACAGTGGGGCCTTGACTTACGAGTGTCCTGACTAACGAGTTTTTTGAGATACCAGCTGTCTCTCCGAGGATTTTTTGCATTGAGTTGATCGAGTAATTTGAGTTAACGAGCTCCTTAATGAGCTCCTTAACGAGCTTGGTCTCGGGAGGAACTAAACTCGTAAGTCAAGGCCCCACTGTATGTGACTCACAGCACAGAGCCTGGCACGGAGTAGGTGGTCACCAAACGTTAGTAACAGTCACATGCCCCCAGCCCGGGGCCCGAGTCGGGCAGCGAGACCTGCCAGCAGCAGTGAGAGCCCTACCTGCCTTCTCCTTGATGACGGCCCAGTCCTCGTAGCTGTCAATGTGCTCCTTCAGCCGCGAGCACAGCTGCACGTTGCCCACGTAGTCCAGAAGGACGTCGATGATGGGCCCCGCCCAGCGGCTCACCTCAGGGGCAGACAGGATCTCGCAGAACTGAAAGGGAGCACGCACCGTGCTGGGAGGCCCAGGACAAGGGCACCGCCTCCGCCAGCTCATCCTGCAGGCGGCAGCCTCAGGCTGGCATGTCCGAGGGCAGACACTGGGCACACCCAGCTAGGATCCAGTTCCCTCCTCTCATCAACACAGGCCTCTGCTGCCAGAAATGGGAGGTGGGCAGCTTAGGCCAGTGGCATCACCTCTCTAAGCCTCAACTTCCTCATCTAGAAAATGGGTATATAGCACCCACTTCAGGGGTTTATGAGAAGGAAAGTAGTATGAACACACAGTAGGTGGCCCATCAATGATGGCCGTTAGCCACTGTGATGATCTCTGAGAGCCGGTGTTCTAACTTCCTTTTCATGTTAAGTTCTGACCTCTTAGGTCACCACCATGGACAGGTCCTGCTCTGACCTTGCATCTCACCTGACCTTAGACCCACCTGCTCTCCCCTCCATCCGGATCCTGGTCATTCAACCCCCCTTTCCAGCCACAGGCTTGCTGGGGGTGATGACCTCTGGTTTTTGCAGAGTTCCCACCAGCTCCCTACCCTACTGTTCCTTCCTGAAATTCTCCAAGACAGCGGACCAGAAAGGATTTAATTGTTCGCGTGAACCACTAAGTTCTGCTGCTTCTGAAACCTTCTAACCACCCGGTTCTGCTGCCACCAAAGCGCACTAACCACTAACCCACACGCCCTCCCAAGGCATTCACTGCGAGCCCGTGGCCGCGTCCCCAGGCGTCCCCACCCCCTACCTGGACCACGCAGGGCGCCTTGTCACAGGCGGGCATGTCGTTGAACCTGCTGGAAG